TATATATATACATATATATAATTATATAAATATGTACATATATATATATACACATATTTCTATATATTATATGATATATAATATGTTTGCATCTATGTCCATATACATGTATATGTATGTTAAGTATGTACATGCATACACATATATATCTTTGTATATATACAAGGAACACGACTGTTTTCGTGCAGCTTCGGCCTCCTGCAACACTAGAAAGCAGATCCCTTAAGGAGGGTTCCTATCAAGAGCCTTTAGTAGTATAGGGTCCCAAATTAGGGGTTCTACTGAGTGGCAGCGAAAATTACGAACGAAGCACCACCGACGGTTGATGATATTACCCATAATAAGGAATCTACCACAATTCGCATAGTTATTAGGGTCCTTAATAAGGTAGTGCAGGATTTATACCATCGACAGTAGTGCTGCCCAAAGCCGTGCAGCAAGTATCTTAGGCCGGTGCATCGGGACTCAATCTGGTCTTGCCGGTCGCCTGGGCAGTGTCTTTAGACCAGCGCAGCCATCCCTCTGTGTTTCATGTGTTTCGGCTCTTCTCTGCCGGGGGTGGCCTTCTAGACGTATTCGTAGTTGGATCATGTACAAACTGTCAACAGCGGGAGATCAGACATCAAGGGAACAGCACGCAAACTTCTCTCTGGCCCTCGAGAAACATATGCTCCAGCCGGCTACAGACATGACCGTCATGAGTTCGACAAAACTGGGATCACAAGACGGAGCTTGGCCCAGGGCTCGAATATGTCGAGCGGAAAGGGATGGCTCACGGGCCTCCCCTTGCTGGGCCAAGCCGACCTGATGTGCTTTCGCCCAGGCTACTACTGCTCTGACTCTGCAGAAAAAATAGGCCAAATCAACAAAGTGGAAGCTACGTGCTACTTCTGGAGAGGGCTTGCCAAAGAAGCTGCTGTTAGATGGGGAACATGACGGAGCTCTGCGACAGCTCCCAGCTCCTTCAACCAGGTACGCAAGAACCCTATTTGTTGATCTCTGGGGCAGTGTGTTTTCGGCATAACAAGTTCCCTGCACCAGCGAGCTATCCATTGGCCTTTATATCCGGGCACAGGCTAGGCCCAGGCACAAGGCCTTCAATCAGTCCACCCATCTTCGCCGAAACCACTGCTACGCCTCTGACGAAACGACGACCCTCCTGCTCATGTCGCTCCTCTTGCGTTGTTTGGGCCATGACCCCTATAAAAGGTAGTATACCCTAAACCCTAAACCCTAAGCCCTAATAGGGTTCCCTTTCGGGGTACCATAGGCTTCTATAAGGTCCCCCTACAGTGGGTTCTCGCGCGTTTCAGAAGTCGGCGGACCATCCTCGGGATGCGACCGCAGCATTTCAACCCACGAACCCAGGAACCGCAAGATATCTGCAGGAACCTGAATCCGTGGCAAAGTATTCTCCGAATGCCTATTCCCGCTGTGATTGCCTGCCTCTGCACAAAGAAAAGAATCGCAAGAACCCGCAAAAAGCCACTCGGGCTCCCGCGAAGTCCTGCGCCCATGGTCGGCGGCTCAAAAATGCAAGGGCCAAGAGCCCCAGTCCTGTGGTTCGGAGCACTGAGCTGGGCAGGCACGGATTTTCCATGAGTTCGGGCAGAACCACATCAACATTGCTACAATGACATGCGAGAGGGCCGTAATAACGAAAAGAGACACCAGTTATTAGGTGAATGGGTGGCATTGCCCCATGCTGACGAATACTCAAGTAGTGTTTGTGACCGCGTGCAGCATACGTCACGTCACAAAAGATCGGCTAGGGTGACAGCCGAGGTGAACACTTGAGCTCTTCCCGCCCTATGAGCGAAGGCTTCTCAATGGAGCACCTGCGCCGCAGCGGCAGAGAAGCGAAGCCCGCCTGCATTCCGGCAGAGTCAAGCGCGCTTCATACACACATACATCCTTCCGTCCATCCATTCAGCCATGCATGACTTATGCATGAACACATGCATTCACACCGACACACACACACACGCACACCCGCACATGCAGACATGCAGATAGACAGGCAAACGCACAGACAGCAAGCCAGTCTGCCAGCCAGCTAAACATTACATGCATGATTTTAGGACAGGGGTGGCTCTTTCGGTATGTTCGCCAGTGTTGCTTTCAGTCTACTAATTCCCGCCTAAGAGCCTCATAGTGTATCTTCAAACACAGAACATCACCCCCCACCCACCCACCCACCCACCCACCCCAAGAGGAAGCAACAAGTAGGCCCGTAGGCGCAGTTGTCCCCCCCCATGTGCATAAATAACAACCAATCAAACAACCAAACAACCAAGCAACCAAACAAACAAGTAAACACAAAAACAAACAAATAAACAAAGGCACAAACCATCACCATAACACACAAACACTCATCACAAACAAGCAAGCAATGGACAAATAAATAACACAAGCAAACAAAACAAACACAACACAACACAAGACAACACACAGCAACACAACAGAAACACAGACACAACACACACACACACAACAATCAAAACACACGAACAAACAAGACAAATAGACAAGCAAACAAGCACGCAAACACACAAAGACACCAACCAACACACAAAAGCACACGCGCGCGCGCACACCCAGACAAAAACAAACAACAAAAACAGAAACCACCAAATAACACAACAAACTACGTAATAACAACAACAACAACAACAGCAGCAGCAGCAGCAACAACCAACAACCAACAACCAACAACCAACAACTAACAACAACTACAACAACAATAACCATCACAACCACAACCACAACCACAACGAACAACAACAACAACAACCAACAACCAACAACAACAACAACAACCACCACCACCAACAACGACAACAAACAACAACAACAACAACAACAACAACAACACCAGCAGCAGCAGCAGCAGCAGCAGCAACAACCAACAACCAACAACCAACAACCAACAACCAACAACAACAACAACAACAACCATCACAACCACAACCACAACGAACAACAACAACAACAACAACCACAACCACCACCAACCACGACAACAAACAACAACAACAACCAACAACAACAACCAACAACAACAACCAACAACAACAACAACCACAACCACAACCACCAACAACCAACAACCAACAACCAACAACCAACAACCAACAACAACCACATCCAACCACAACAACAACACCAACAGCAACAACAACAACAACAACAACAACAAAAACAGCAACAACAACAACCACCACCACAAGCACCACACCCACAACTGCCACAACAGCAACAACAACAACAGACCAAACAAACAAACAATCAAACACGCAAACAAACAACAACAACAACAACAACAACAACAACAACAACAACAACCACAACCACAACCACAACCAACAACAACAACAACAACAGCAGCAAGAACAGCAAGAACAGCAAGAACAGCAAGAACCGCAAGCAAGAACAGAAAGAACAGCAAGAACAGCACCACCACCACCGCCGCCACCACCACCACCACCAACAACAACAACAACATCAACATCAACAACAACAACAACAAGAACAAGAACACGAACAATAACAATTACCAAAAAAACAAGAACAAGAACAAGAACCAAGAACAATAACAATAACAATAACAACAAGAACAACAAGAACAATAAGAACAATAAGAACAATAACAATAACAGCAACAACAACAACAACAGCCACAACAGCCACAACCACAACCACGAGTAAATCAGCAAACAAAAACAGTATCATACATACACACACGACTCAAGCAGAACACCAGCAATGAAGCAAGCACATAAACAGGCAACACACGAGCGTTAGGATATGATTGTCTTCGTTCGTATGTCATCGATAAAAGTGTGTCAGCAGGCCTCGTCATGCTGGCCACACCTGCCAAAGTCAAGGCCACAAGACAGCGGCGCTCGGTCATGCCGGCACCCGCCTCGCTGCAACGACGCCATCGCTTGACGGCTCTGGCCGGTTGGCTACGACTATGGGAGCCCAGGCGTATTGAAGCAGCAACAAGCAAGGACCGGGTGTAGCATCCTTGGAAGCTTGCGCGTACCGCACGGCACTTTGCGAAGTCCCAAACACGAATTATTCTGACATCGGATCCTGCCCCAGCATGGATTGGCAGCGGGACTCGCCTGAACGGCAGTGGCCCTCACTGCTAAACAAAAGTTAGAGACATGTTCTGGAGAAAGGGCGTGCAAATGACAGGTTTTGATGACGCAGAGGTAGTGCAGAAATAAGCATAGCAAGGACGAGTGGTCCAGGAG